CACTCTTCAAGTCGCGGCAAACATTCACACGGTTTTCTCTTTGGTCATCTCCGAGCAAGCGAGGAACAAATTTTGCAGACACCCGTCTCATGTGCAAACCTTCGGTTAAAATTCGCTGGACCGTGCTCCATGAGATGTTCGTTTTCTCAGCAAGTTGGTCAGTGATCTTTCGGCGATCTTCATCAATTTCACGCACACTCTTTGTTCCTTCTGGTTGGCCATCTCACTAATCGCCAAAGGGTTGAAACAGGAACGCACACAACAGAGCACCACAGACAAACCACTTAACTCAGACTGACGCCAGCTCACTAACAGTCGCGGGAGACCCCCAGCTAACACCACCTAGCAGCACAACTCGTAACTACAAAGCATGCGCGCTCAACAGGTCGTTTCCGGTTATTTTTGGTTCCCCCCTCGTATACAGAGCTCCATCAGGTAATTTTGATTATTTTCTTAATAAACTAGACTATACTTAATTCGTTCTACACACATAACTTGGAATTTATAATATGTGGTGATATTGTCACGTGTTGGGTGTATAATGCGACAAATAACTTAACGCCATATTGGATATAGCGAATTTTATTCAACACTCACTCATACAATCGCACCATTTACAATCTCAACTTTACTGCCATTGGCAGTATCACAAATATTGGACTGCAATTAAGTGGTGACTGACTCTCTGGCTAACTCGTAACTCAACTCGAATAGTCTTCGCTGCTCCTTATTTAACCCTGTTACGGACAACAAAGAAAACAGTTACATAATAGGCACCACTGTTGTCTGACACCGTGTTTCCCGATAGCCTAGCAACGCTGTTGGGAGTTGTTTACGGCTGCATAGCAACCGTGGCATCCCTTGGTCGCATCACCGCTGGCGGGGTAGGGGAAGGAGTGTTGACTTGCCTGTTACCCTAGTAACGCCAGCGTTCCAATGGTGTTACATCACCGCTGGGGAGGGAAGGGCTGTCCTCCATAGCGCAACATGTCACAATATTAATATTAATTATATGGAAACTAGTAGCAAAAAACGCAATTAGATGACATGTTAAACACTTATAACCCAATAGGTACTGTATGCTTTCCTACAAGAATTGTTAATAACTCTGCTACCTTAAATGACAATATATTTATTGATAATAGAAGAAGTTATACCATAAAATCATGTATAAATGGATTGTCAGATCACGATGCCCAGCTTATAATACTTAATAATGTCCCTGTACTAAACATGACTCCTGAGACTACGTATACTAGAAATATTAATAACACTGTAGCGGAATTTCAGTATCTGTTAACACTTTGCAGACCGGTGGCATATTATTATGACTTTAGGACACGTTATGCTGAACCACACTATACCTTGCACTGGCGCCAGGCAGACGCATGACTGGTGCGTGATAGACCTCTTGAATGTTTGATTTGTAGTCAGTAACATGACCCCGCTGTTTATGACCCAACTGTTTTCCTTTCCCACTCCAAAAGAAAATGCCTTTGTTCATCTTCCAGCTGCATGCACCAGGCAGGAAGTTACTAGTGCAAAATGGATCAAGGTCGGAAGAGGTTGAGGTCCAAGCACTTTCTCGGAGAACAAGAAATATCTGACTTGTGGCCACAGACAGTGAAAGTGAAAGTGAAAGTGACAGTAGCTCTGACGAAAGTGCGGGTAGCGACCTAGTGGGGAGAGCCACACAGGGAAAAGTAGACCAAACGCCTGCTTTGGGACAGTTTACTGGAAATCCAGGGGTGAAGCAAATTCCATCGGACCCAACACAAGTGTCTGAAGTATTAAATATGACAGGAACGGAATAGAATGAATGTTTTTAGTTGTAAATTGAATCGTTCTAATCGTACTGCTGAATAACATCGTTTTGCTTTGCTCATATTTTCTTGTATATGTGACTGAGAATGACAGTATTTTGAGAACATGAGTTTCAAGATTTGGCGTATTATTCTCTTACTTGGAAAACAGTAAAGTGGACAAAGAAAGTTGCCTTGTGACTTATAAATTGTGCCATTTTCAATTCATTTTTGGTTTTCAAAAATCTAAACCCTCATTCAAAATTGAAATACAAGGCATTTCTGCTGAATGTGGCAAAAGCCTGCGCTGCAGACTACACGGTGGC